ATATATATATATATATATATATATATATATATATATATATATAAAAGTTTGTGAAGGTACCACCTCTGGTGCCAATGTGGGGACCCATAGCCTCGGAGAAGAAAATAAAAAGTATTCAGAGGAGACCTTGTGGTTTCTCACTGAACACTAATATTATCTTCTCCTACCACCCCCATTCTTTTGTATGTACACATATATATTTACTTTATTTGAACTTTGTTACAAAAAAGGAGTTACATATGGGTTACAAAGATGGTTATCATAGGCTGTCGAGTTCCTCCAGCTCCTCAGATGGCGGGCAGGAACCCTGGATGCAGTGCGCATTTCCCCTCTGTATCGCCACACTGAGGCGCTGGAAAAGAATATATATATATATACACACGTGTGTGTGTGTGTAATTACCTAAGTTTAGTTACAGGATGAGAGCTTTTTTTTCGAGAGTGTGTGTGTATAATCCCGAAGAAATTAACACACGATGAATAATGTGACAATGTCTGACCACGAACGAAAATGAGACAGGAAATTCCTCAAGTACTTTCGTATTAATCCAACATAGGTCAAGAGATGAGGTGGGCTGTGACCACCGAACATGGGTCAAGAGATGAGGTGGGCTGTGACCACCGAACATGGGTCAAGAGATGAGTTGGGTTGTGACCACCGAACATGGGTCAAGAGATGAGGTGGGTTGTGACCTCAAACATAGGTTAAGAGACGAGGTGGGCTGTGACCACCGAACATGGGTCAAGAGATGAGGTGGGCTGTGACCACCGAACATGGGTCAAGAGATGAGGTGGGCTGTGACCACCGAACATGGGTCAAGAGATGAGGTGGGCTGTGACCACCGAACATGGGTCAAGAGATGAGGTGGGCTGTGACCACCGAACATGGGTCAAGAGATGAGGTGGGCTGTGACCACCGAACATGGGTCAAGAGATGAGGTGGGCTGTGACCACCGAACATGGGTCAAGAGATGAGGTGGGTTGTGACCTCAAACATGGGTTACGGGATTTTAGTCAGTTCCCTGCACCCGGCTGCGACAGACAGCCTCGATAAGCTAGCTGCTCGACCCTGTGACAAACATCTATTCCTGCTTGCTCGCTCCAGCTTTAAAGAGAGAGAGAGAGGGAGAGAGAGAGAGAGAGAGAGAGAGAGAGAGAGAGAGAGAGAGAGAGAGAGAGAGAGAGAGAGAGAGAGAGAGAGAGAGAGAGAGAGAGAGAGAACCAGAATAGTCACCACAGCGAGTCAATATAAATTTTAACCTGTGATAACATTCAAGAGGCAGACCTTTACGGCTCCTCGAGGCAGGTGGTGTGGGCAGAGGGCGCTGTCACCTCGAAAAAGAGGAAATACCACCCGGGGAATTTCCTACCTAAAATATACTTTCTCCTGTTGCCATCGGAGCATCTTCTCGGGGCTACTGAAACGTTAGCGATTATTACGTAATAGAAAATGGCAAGAATAATGGTAGCATCAATTGTGTTAACTTGTGATTGGATTATATTAATGGTGTTGACGATGCCTAGGGTGTAGGGAGCCTCGTCTAGGGTGTGGCGAGCCTGGTCTAGGGTGTGGCGAGCCTCGTCTAGGGTGTGGCGAGCCTCGTCTAAGGTGTGGCGAGCCTGGTCTAGGGTGTAGGGAGCCTCGTCTAGGGTGTGGTGAGCCTCGTCTAGGGTGTGGTGAGCCTGGTCTAGGGTGTGTTGAGCCTGGTCTAGGGTGTGGCGAGCCTCGTCTAGGGTGTGGTGAGCCTCGTCTAGGGTGTGGCGAGCCTCGTCTAGGGTGTGGCGAGCCTCGTCTAGGGTGTGGTGAGCCTCGTCTAAGGTGTGGCGAGCCTGGTCTAGGGTGTGGTGAGCCTCGTCTAGGGTGTGGCGAGCCTCGTCTAGGGTGTGGCGAGCCTCGTCTAGGGTGTGGTGAGCCTCGTCTAAGGTGTGGCGAGCCTGGTCTAGGGTGTGGCGAGCCTCGTCTAGGGTGTGGTGAGCCTCGTCTAAGGTGTGGCGAGCCTGGTCTAGGGTGTGGTGAGCCTCGTCTAGGGTGTGGCGAGCCTCGTCTAGGGTGTGGCGAGCCTCGTCTAGGGTGTGGCGAGCCTCGTCTAGGGTGTGGTGAGACTCGTCTAGGGTGTGGCGAGCCTCGTCTAGGGTGTGGCGAGCCTTGTCTAGGGTGTGGCGAGCCTCGTCTAGGGTGTGGCGAGCCTTGTCTAGGGTGTGGCGAGCCTTGTCTAGGGTGTGGCGAGCCTCGTCTAGGGTGTGGCGAGCCTTGTCTAGGGTGTGGCGAGCCTTGTCTAGGGTGTGGTGAGCCTCGTCTAGGGTGTGGTGAGCCTTGTCTAGGGTGTGGCGAGCCTTGTCTAGGGTGTGGTGAGCCTCGTCTAGGGTGTGGTGAGCCTCGTCTAGGGTGTGGTGAGCCTCGTCTAGGGTGTGGTGAGCCTCGTCTCGTCTAGGGTGTGGTGAGCCTGGGGCTGCTCATGCAGTTCCCACTAACTTTCATTGGCCAGCAGCTCCGACCGTGATGGGGTAATAACGCCCGAGGAGGGCTTTGTCTGGCTTGACCTCAGTCAAGCTTAATGGTGGCTTTAACCACACCATGATTTTCACGCTTTTATTATTAAAGTAACATATTTTTAGTTATAAAGTAGGATATCTCTCTGATTGTCTGTACAAGGTAGAAGACCAGACACTTGGGGCTAGTCCCATTAAACTTTGTCGGGTGACTGGTGAGTGTGAGAGGATTGACAATAGGTGGGCCCCATTGCCCGCACTTAATGGAGGTCAGCCCTCAAGGTACCCCTGCATGAAGTTAGTGGAGATGAAATGTTTGGTGCTGAGTCCATAGAGTTTCAGCACTGAGCTACTGACACGTAAAGTCCATTTTCTGATGGTAGATTTGCATTCTGGGGGCTCCCAACTCTTCAAAACACAATCACGTGGGAGTCGACCCGTGCATTTCCTTTACCACATTAAAATAAGTACTGAGTATAGAGTAAATAAGTATATATATATATATATATATATATATATATATATATATATATATATATATATATATATATATATATATAACTGAAAACTCACTCCCCAGAAGTGAATATAGTTGTATATAGTCCTGGGGACCATTCAGGCTTGTTTGCATATATATATATATATGAGGGTGTCGGAGTTTGAACAGCAACGCAAATCAAGCTGCTGCAGAGTGCGTGGGTGCCGCAACAAAACAACACGACAATGTTCGCCTCGCACCAGTAGCAGCCCCACATGCAGGGGACTTCCTGTTAGCAACCCCAATGTCGGCAACTGGCACACGTCTCACACAACACGCCCTCCGAATTGCTGCCCCAATCCACACCAGATATAGGTGTATTTGCGGCGAGGTGGTGACCTACCTACCCTACTACTCTGCCAAAGCACAGGTGGGATGGCACTCGAGGCACAGTGAAGTTAACGACATCATCAAGAGGAGCCTCACCACAGCTGGATGCCCAGCTGAGAGAGAGCCCCGTTACCTAACGCCCCGTAACTCTGCTGCCTTAAATGGTCGCCCAGATGGTATCACAGTGAACCCCTGGAAGAATGGCATGCACTTTTTATGGGACTACACGTGTGTATCAACCCTGGCTAACACCTACACTGACTTCAGTGTTGCACACAACCAGGTGGCGCTGCCCTCACAGGGAATCAACCAAATCCCGCAAGTCCACAGAACTTGATCACCACTACAATGTTGTCCCCATTGCTTCTGAAACACTCCGGAAAGTCTTCTGTTTTCAATTACGTTTGAAACTTCCCGTGTTTGAAAACACTGCTCACGCCTGTACACATTGAGTGGTGGGACTCTTGCCTGAGGCCACGTAAACCCGCCACGACTGTGTTTTGTTTGGTTCCAACAACTGATGTTTGTGGTGCTCGCCAGCCTAAACTCTCTCGTCCGGTTGCATTAATTATAAATAGAAGAAAAGTTAAGAGAGACTTCCTATCATAAGATTTTATATTTCTCTGAAAACCTTCTACTTATGAAGCTGATTTGGTTTGAAAGGAAAAAGAGGTGTTAGTGTATGGAGGCAATAATTGTGATGTTTGGTATTGTGCACGAATGTAATGTTCATTACATTCGTGCAAAGGTAATACCGAGACAGATTGCCAGGCTGTTCTGGAAGAACATTGAGGATATGGATCCTTATTGAACCAAGTGTTACTTGTTTCTGTTTTACTTAGGCGGAGTATGAGTATTTATGACTTGTATGGTCGCTTCAGTAAGAGTTTGCTCCGTGTGTTTAACAACTTCTGGTTTGTTTGTAGTGGTGTTGGGGAGCTTGGCGCATGCGCGCCCCGAGCCATATCTCACACGTTATGTTAAACTTCTTAACTTCCAGGACATTTTCTTACAATAACCTCGGTGTATTTGTCCCTTGCATCTTGCAGTGTTTCTCCGCTCTCATTACTCCTCTCCCCATTCTCACGACATTGCACTTATCTGTGCAACTTCACACTTTACTCACCTAGTTGTACTTACCTAGATGTACTGGCGGAGGTGGAGCAATGTTGTGTTTGGGGCCGCCTCTCAACTGTCAATCAACGGATTTTTTTCACACACACACACACACACACACACACACACACACACACACACACACACACACACACACACACACTAGTATGTGTGTGTGTGTGCGTGAATAAGAAGCACTCCCCACCAAAAAAAAGTGATATATATATTGTTTGAAGTTGGCGTTGTTTACATCAAACCTGACACGTTAAAAGTCCAAAATCTCTAGACGTGTCCAGAACACGTAAAAATTTTGCCCATTTTATTATTTTCCTCTGAGGAGTTAACTGTATACTAAAGGCTCTAAGTTCTCACTTTGAACCCGGGACAATATTTAATATCTATTAATTATAAAACCTCACCAGTTTCAATCATTTATCATCCCATGTCGCTGATCACTAATTTTGTCCCGTGTATGTTAATCCTTTAAACAAAATATTAATTACAAATGCTCAGTATTTTGTCTTATATTAATTCTGTGTATTCGTGCCTACAGGAGCCACGGCCCTGATCCTGGTGGGGATCTGCACGGTCTTCCTCGTGTTCATCTGCCTCATCTTCTTTATTCAAAAGGTCCGACGCCAGAGACTAGAACGCAAGGTTGAACAAGACGGTGATGTTGTTAAGTAAGTTACCAACTCCAATACAACGTTTTTGAGGTCAAACCCTGTTGGTTTAGAGACATCTTCTGATGCACCTGAGACAACTGACGTCAGAGTCCTATAGTGCATCTTTTCTCACTTTAGAAATGTACAGTTACATATAGTTAAGAAATTGTGTTAATTATCTTGATTAATTACGTCTTGGACTATATAAAATATATGCCTTATCAGTTCTTAATGGTGGAGAGGGTTCGTGTACGCCATTAAGTGATGTTCACCCACTAATGCTGTCTTCGTATGTGTTCTTATGATTGTGTCTACCCACTAATGCTGTCTCCACCTGTCTTGTGATGATTGTGATGAGTGTTGTGTTCCTCCGTAGGCCGCAGACGACCTACGAGGCTGCCGGCTCTTCCCACTACCACCCCAACCCCCTCTCCCTGCTCCCGCCGGCGCTCCTGCACGCCCTCACAAGCCTCACCTTGTCGGCGCACCATGAGAGGCATGAGGACCACCTCCCGCCTTCCTTTCTCACGTAAGTATATAACAGCTTAAAACCTCCTTTTATGTCCTTTTAAAAATATAAAAGACTTTTTTTTAAACGTATGAAAATATATAACCTTTTTTTGTACATATCAAAACATAATGGCCTTTTTATGTACACAGAAATGACGAATTTAGATAAGAAAAAAAGTGGTCTTTTCTTCATACTGATAAGATGAACAACGTGCTCTTAAATGAATATGTCAATGCTTGTTATTGGAGGTTTAGGATGGAGACGTGTTTATTGGAAGTTTATTTAAGGATTTGGAATGGTGTGCTGATCTGGGGTGTGTTTCCACAGTATGGAGCCTCCACAGTCAACCAACAGCCTTGGACGCCTCTGGTTCTCTGTCTACTATGATTACGTCGAGTCCACTTTGGTGCTTCGAATACTTCATGCCAGGTGAGAGAGAGAGAGAGAGAGAGAGAGAGAGAGAGAGAGAGAGAGAGAGAGAGAGAGAGAGAGAGAGAGAGAGAGAGAGAGAGAGAGAGAGAGAGAGAGAGAGAAGAGAGAGAGAGAGAGAGAGAGAGAGAGAGAGAGAGAGAGAGAGAGAGAGAGAGAGAGAGAGAGAGAGAGAGAGAGAGAGAGAGAGAGAGAGAGAGAGAGAGAGAGAGTGTAACACGTATCAAGTAGGAATCCAAGACAAAAGCATATCCAAACTCCCCCATTTTGAGGTTGCACCCAAATTCTTCCCTATGCACATAGGTGTGTCTTGGCATCTTAACCAGAGGTGGCGAACATTTCTCCTGCAGATACACCAAGGGGCGGGGTTCGAGCACCAACCCGGGGGACGTGTGGGTGGAGGCGTGTGTCCTCACCCCCATGAACATGGTCAAGGGCTCCACCAAGACTGGCACCAGGAGGGCCAGCTCGGCGCCAGTTTTCAACCAAACCTTCAGATTCAAGGTACGCTTCTCAAGCACGCTTTAATGTCCAGGCTTTTTGTCTCCAACTCTTGCTCCACCTGATCTGGAGGTTGAATAGGCCTGCAACCAGGGTCTGGTTGCAGGACTAACCCCCCTCCACTAATCATCTTGGGGATGCACTGTTTGCAAAGCTCCATCACCCTGGAACTACACTTCGTATAACGGTCATAAGGGGGTCTACAGTGTCCATAACGAATCCGTGAATATAACGGTTATGAGGTTCTGCACTGATTAAAACAGCCCCGGGGGCTACATTGCCTATAGCGGTCACTAGAGGTTGCTTGGTTCATAATGGACACAAAGGGTGTTATACACTGTTTCTAACGACCACAATCTTGAGATTATCTTGAGATGATTTCGGGGCTTTAGTGTCCCCGCGGCCCGGTCCTCGACCAGGCCTCCACCCCCAGGAAGCAGCCCATGACAGCTGACTAACACCCAGGTATCTATTTACTGCTAGGTAACAGGGGCATAGGATGAAAGAAACTCTGCCCATTGTTTCTCGCCGGCGCCTGGGATCGAACCCGAGACCACAGGATCACAGTCCAGCGTGCTGTCCGCTCGGTCGACCGGCTCCCTTCAAGGAGTCATATTGTCTATAAAGACGACAAAGAACTCACACTGCCCATAACAAACACTTTGAAACGACCCTATGCAATTTTTGTGCAAATATTACTTCAGTTTTCACAACTGTTCTCTCTTTCGTGTCAATAATATGTCTAACCTTCACATGAAAAAAACAACAAACCTCCATCTATAATTCCATGGTTCTATACAACCCCATTTCTTAACCTTCAGTCTTTACTAAGATATTTTCCTATTCTAAACTTATATTAACTGTAGCCATTGTTTCGAGTTCTGCTTTGTGTTGATGTCCTTAATTACACATCTGATTTACTTGCGCCACGTATTCTAACCCACAGTTTTCTTTGAAATACCCATGTCTTAACCCAGTTTGATATCCCACCAATAGAATGCAACCCCCCCAAGAATGACCCCCATTAATACCATTACTAGTGTCTGCTGTAACCAGGTGTACGTGTGTTTCAGGTGGGTGACGAGGAGGTGACACAGTACCTACTGAGGCTGACACTGTACGACCGACACCCGCAGAATGGCGAGAAGGCCGTGGGCTCCGTCATCGTCCCCCTGAGCACCGTCGACCTCTGCTCCAGCGCCACTATATCCAGAGACCTCCAGTAACCACCTGGAAACTTACACGCCGATAAAATATTGTACAAAGATTCGCTGTCAAATAAGAAATAATATGTGAGAATTGTGGTGTCGAGTTAATAAACGACGAATGATAAGAGCTAAGAGTCTGGTTCTCGTGGCTCCTACTTAAGAGTTCCAAGAATATGTTAATAGTCATTCATAGTCTTCCGCGGTGCAGCTGGCTTTTGTGGCCTAGCTAAGACGTCGAGAACGCGAGGACAGCTACAGCTTGCAAGACGGTGCAAACGAGACCATCGTAAAGTGACGCTTTCCGGCAATTTTCGTCGTGGTTTTTAAAGCGTGATGGTACGACAAGCTTACGAAAGGACATTTGAAAACGAGTGAGACGTCCTGTGATTTACATATCCATATTATCCTACTGAACCTTGTCTTGAAGAAGCTTATAACGCTATTTTTGGCCAAGCTGGAAGTTTCATTTGGGTACCTGGTTCCTAAATATATTTTAAATTATAAAAGTAATAATCACTTAGTCTGTGCAATATTGATGGGAATATTCGCTGTGTACTTTGGAATTGTTTTCATGTATATTGTGTCTTTCTTCGCTTCCACTAAGTGAAAACCAGTACGGTTTCCCCCTGGCATTGACCCAAAGAATATATTGCCTACGAATATGATATCTGAATATTATAATATTTGATATAAACATTATATATATATATATATGTGTGTGTGTGTGTGCGTGTGTGTGTGTGTGTGTGTGACAAAAAAGCTGCAGGAACACGCAAGCTATAGATCAATAAGAACTAAATGACCCGGCCAGGATTCGAACCCATGACTCCCAGGATCACCCCCAAACGTTCACTGTACCGTGACCACCGCACCATTGGTCGTCTATAGACGATAAATTTTACACACACCTAGCCATGTCGTCAAACTTTGTACAGCACTATCCTTGTCGTGTTCTGAATTATCTTTCATTACAGTATTAGTCCGAGTCAAACTTCAATCTGGAAAGAGTGAATCAGTTTTGCTGTAAAATTTCCAGTTACCATCGATTCATCGTGTCGAGGTTTGTCAGGCCCTTGATATGATTCGGAGAATATTAAGACACGAGATCAATCTTATTCAGTGAAGGTGATTTCTAGGAATTATTTGTACTCGATTCTTAACAGTGAAGATAATTAATATATTATCATTTACGAGCCTCCAGTTGTATGTACAACTCCAGTTGTGCGCTTCCAGTTGAATATTCTCGTATTAATAGAGACGAATATACAAGTCTGAAAATGACCAGTTGCATTTTCAGTTCTTCTAGTTTTATTCCGGTCGTCTCAAATATATTTTGTAAATTCTTTGCTCTGCGCAAATTTCTCTACCTGTCTACGCACGAGAAGACATAGAGCGATTAGAACTGATTCTACAGTCGGAGGTTCTTCCATAACACTTGTGATATATATACATAGAGGTGAGGATCACAGTACTTGTGTGTGTGGAAGGAGATGGGGTCTGTGTACTTACCTAACACTGGCAAGTGAGATATAGTGAGTATGTGTGTGTGTGAGTGAGTTGGGTGTATGTATGTGTATGTGTGTGTGAGCGAGTTGGGTGTATGTATGTGTATGTGTGTGTATGCATGTGAAGTTTTGCTTGTGGTTATTGAGCTCCAGCTCCTGGCTCTGCCTTAACCCATCGGTCGTGTAGTTTAATGACTCGTGGCCGTTTAGGTTACTCACCTAGTTGTACTCATCTAGTTGTGCTTGCAAGGGTTGAGCGCTTTGGTCCCGCCGCTCAACCGTCAGTGGCTTCGGTAACTCTAGGATCTGTTGCGCCTCGTCCTATCTAATCTTGACTGGAGTTGGACCTCCATCCCTCAGTTCATTCCACACAGTACTCGTGCAAGAAGGAGATGCTTTCTAGTGTCTCCGGAATTGAATTGTATTTCGCTTTCTTCTGTAGCGTTTCGTTTGGTTTCCATTCACACTGCACACTCTCCTTGTTCGTCCTGTCTTGAGTATACCTGGAACATACCTGGAGAAGGTTTCGGGAGTTCTTCTACTCCCCGAGCCCGGCTTGGGGCCAGGCTCGACTTGGGTTAAGTTGGTTTAACAAGTTGTTGATTGGAGCGGCCCGCCGGTCCACATATCCACTCAACCCGTTCTCGCAAATTCGTAAAGTCAATATTGACTTATTAACTACGTGCATAGGTGATATACTAAACATAATAGATACCCTTAAAAAGATTCATAGAAAACACCGACCTTACCTAACCTTGTTAGTATGTAAAGATAAGCATCTTATTGCTTCGTAATTACAATTATTACTTAACCTATACCTATTATAGGTTAGGTAATAATTGTAATTACGAAGCAATAAGATGCTTATCTTAAGATACTAACAAGGTTAGGTAAGGTCGGTGTTTTCTATGAATCTTTTTAAGGGTATCTATTATGTTTAGTATATCACCTATGCACGTAGTTAATAAGTCAATATTGACTTATTAAATTTGCGAGAACGGGTTGATCCACTACAGCCTGGTTGGTCCAGCAATCTTTGCAAAAACTTGTCTAATTGGTTCTTGAAGAAGTCCGCCTCTGTTCCGGCAATATTTATAATATGGCCGGAATATTATAATATTGTTATAGAGTATAATTATATATTATAATATATAATATTGAATATTATATATATTATAATTTTGCAAGAATATTGCTGCGAGAGTATTGAACAGCCGTGGACCCCTGATGCTCAGACAGTGTTCTCCGATTGTGCCTATGGCACCTCTTATTCCTAGCTGGTTGAGTATTGTTTACATTGTGATCAAGTCTCCTGTTTTCTTTTTACTTTTATGGTAAGGTTCGATTCTAAGAACCTAGCCCGATCTACTTAGTTCTGGAACTAGTTTTGTGAGAAATATTTGGATCTTCTTCAGATTATATTGTGCTTTATAAGGAGGCTTGTGTGTGTGGGGGGGGGGGGAAGGGGGGTTTACATGTCAACGGTAAATGCTCTAGTGCTAGTTTCACGTAATTGCTGTTTTGTGTTCTGGATTTTCTCTAGAACACAAAGCTAGATTTTCTCTAGATTTATATTTGGCAACTTTGCCATTGCCGCTGATGTCACCCTGTTTGCATGTGCCACAGAAGGTATGCTAGGCGTGGTGTCGATTCCCAGGGCCTCTCACCCGAACCTCTGAGCTGCCTCCACCTGAAACTGTGATCTCCACATTCCTCTTTATCCGCATTTAAATTGTCTTGAATTTGTCGAGCCTACATTCCAGTACCCAGTGTTGGTTACTGTTGCTCGAAGGTGATACAAATTGTCTTGGAGTGTTTTATTGAATGTTCATCTCATTTTCACTTCATCTCGGAGCACTGACATGTAGAAGAACATTTTATTTTCGAATAAATCTTTCAGGAAAATATGAAATAGTGTAGGTGTTATGAACTGACATTCTGGGACATACATTGTAGCTTCTTTCCATTTCGCTACTTCCTTCTCCTCCTCCTCCCTGTGATTTATGTTTATGTCAGGTATTTTCTCACTTAAATTACCATTTTTGTTCATTCTCCTCGACTCCCAAGCCTGTTTTTATTTAACATGTTGCATATCGGTCTCTTATGAATGTAATGTGTGTGTGAAAATGTAGGTTGTGTGTGTTCCGTTGTATTTCTGACAACACTTAAGTCACTAGTATTCAGGCGATTCTGATCTTTGCTAAGTTTCACTAGCACTATACTGTAGTATATTTGTATTCCATGTAATTAGTAATTATTGAAGACTGATAGATGTCCCTTTTTTCATAGAATCATATCTATTATTTTTAATTTTTGTTTTTTCATCCTTAGGATTTTAGTCGAAATATATTTACATACTTAAAATGTATTATTGAAACAACCTTGTCGATGAAAATGACAAGGAGTCTTGCTATGTCTGCCTGTGTGTGTGTGTTAATCTTGGTGTAAGTATTCTTATTTATTTCTATTTGTAGATAGAGTGAGTGTAACGTGAAAGGAATAAAGCCTATGCACCAGCAAGTGTTTCACTGACCTATGAGTGTTGGCACCGGAGGCAGAGGCCCCTGAGCTTCTGATCAATAAGGATAAACATTTAAAACCTCGACTCTGATTAAATTGATGACGTGGTAGTGACGTCACGGACTTTATGCATACCCGAACCCAGTGGTTATAATACCCCAAGACGGACTTTGGGTCGACGTGAGGTTGGGTTGGGTTAGGTTGTGTTGGGTTTGCTTAAAGAGTCGGGATGACGGAGGGTGTTGACAATTTACTCAGGTCTGAAACCTGAGTAAAGGTCTCAGACCTGGCCTCAGGTCTCAGTACTTGAACTCTTCAAGTTCAAGTACATTTACTGAGACAACAAAATACATCTCAAAGGGATAGAGTAGCTTAGTCTATTTCTACCCCCCCCCAAACCCTCCCCTTTGCAACACTGTGGCGATGGGAGGGAGATAATTAACTGCTACGTAAGATTAGAACCCATTCGTTCCCATCTTGCCGGTTTCTTGCACATCCGGCCTCAGAAATAAGGGTTAAAACACAGATTATCCGTCTAAAGGAATTTAAATGCGCCTTATATCGTAATCTCGCCATATCTTCCCTTTTCTTGTTTGATTTAACAGTAACTGTCTCTGATCTTCCATTCAGTAAGTTAACTTACGAATAATTGCAAGAGACTATAAGAAGGTGAGGTAATTATGAGGAGAAAGCGTTAAGCCAGTATGCCTATATATCACTTAGAAAGGGAACATGAGGACAAGGATCTGGGATAGGGCGAAGGGAAGGAATGGTACCCAGCCACTTGGAACATCGGGGCTTGAACGCCGACCTGCAAGAAGCGAAGCCTGCCTACTTACCTTGTGGCTACCTTGTGAGGGTCAACTTCCCCGAGGCCCGGTGTCTGACCAGGATTACTGGTTTGTATTGTCAACCAGGCTGTTGGACGCGGCTGCTCGCAGCTTGACCTATGAATCACAGCCTGGTTGATCAGGTATCCCTTGGAGGTGTTGATGGAGTTCTCTCTTTAACACCGTGAGAGGCCTGCCAGTTATGCCCCTTATGTGTAGAGGAAGAGTGTTGAAAAGTCTTGAGCCTTGGATTTTAATAACGTTGTCTCTTAGCAAAATATTTCAAGTCCCAAGCAAAAATGGCTGAGACTGACTGCTCTAGAGGGTCCCTAAGGCCATCACAGCGGCGCCCTCACCAACCACTAAGTGCACGTTAAGAGAGCTGACCATAGTTCAGGACAAAAGTAACTTTCCAGTGCACTGTATATGTGTGTGGAAAGTAGACATAATTTACTGGAAAAAATAATTCAATCGTGACAACACAGTCCGTTGACCAGTTGAGGGTAATTACTAATATGGAGTTCTGTAGCAGTGATTTACGTCCTCGATTCCCAATCTAAACACCTGGGTTTAATTCCTTAGCTGGACAGAAACAGTTGGGGACGGTTCCTTTTACCTGGCGCCGCTGTTTACCTAGCAGTAAAATACGTACCTGGCGGTTTGTCAAACTATTGTGGTTATATCTTGAGGAAAACCAGTACTTGCCTTACGGGGGCCTTGATAAGACAGGTTTCCTGTCCACGAAAACAGGAATTACTCTGTATTTCACGACAATAGCTTTACCCTCACTATCATATAGTTACTATGTTCTTCTGTCTGCTGGAAACAGGTTCGTTAGGCACGGCTGGTTAGACACCTTTTCTTACAGGACCCTGTACCTGTTGCTTCTTGGCTACTCGAAGAGGGTCACTCAAAGTGCATTTTTTATTAACACATTTAGGTATATCTGTATGTGTGCAACTGCCCTAGACTATATGAAGGGGGAGTACAGACTGTGTACTCCCCTTCATATAATACAGAGGCATGTGATAAGTAGTCTGCACTGGTAAACTCTGGGTGCATTATGAGGATATCATCATGAACACCAGAGCGAATAAGGCAGCAGTGATACTAAAAGTTCTCATCTCTCAGGATGGTGAGTCATACAGGGCCATTTGTTCAATAACCTCCACTGGCAAATTTTGGGTGCACTATGAGGATATCTTCAAAAACACGAGAGTGAATAAACTCATTTCAAAGCTCTAGGTACCTCATACCAGCCGATCTGAAACGTCTAATAACAGGGCATTCGGTGATGTAGTGTGGGAGATTATGCCGCAGTTCCTGCTTACAGAGTTTGCACCTGGAGTGCTCAGGATTGGGAGATCGGTCACCTAATTTCCGATCCGTCTCAGGATTGGGAGATCCGCAGCCACCTGCCACAGGTAACGGTAACCCAATCTGTTCCTGGCAACCACTGTGTCGCACAGTCTGGTCGACGTTTTGTGCTGCCCATAGATATAGGTTTCAGATCTGAACAAATCAGAGTTTTTTTTATATTGGTGCTTTCAGGTCGTTGGGAGTCAGTAATTTCTCTCCTATTGGACCTGAGTGTTTGGAACAATATAGGTTTGACAGCAGATATGGGGATACCTAAGTCTAATTCAACTTCATCTTTGTTTCACGCTAATTTGACTGCAATGTCTGCGTCATTATGATGGGTTATATTTATCTAGATGAGTAAATAAACAACTTAGCTTTCACCTTCAGGTCACGGTTACGAAATATTCCTGCATTGGCAAAGCCAGTGAAATACACATCCACAAAACAATTAATAAGAAGTATGATATAAGAGATTTGTTTAATATACGAAATGTATCGTTCTACGCGTAACAACATATTATATTAAATGGTTATAGCCAACGTAAAAGATTAGCGAAGTTACCATGTTAGAGTTCATTATCAAAGAAAACGCAAGTAGGTTTACTATAAAGAAAACGGTGAACATTTTTTAATTTGAGCGGAAACTAAATTGTATTTATGAGTCTTCCCCCCACATTGTCGGGAATAGTTAACTTGCTAGGCACATCAAGGTCCCTCTAGCTAAGAGCAAGTCTGTCAACACGATCACCCACCCAGTGCTGATTAGATCCAATAGTGCTTAACCTGACTGACGAAGTGACGTGCACATCAACTACTGCTCTTAAACAGTTACAGCATAGCGTCTGAGATATTCTCGGACGTAGGTTCGAACCCTCGTCACGGCCCTTATGGATTTGTTCACCAGAACGTATGTAGAATGTTTCATAAAAAGTAACCCCTAAGGTGTATGGCCAGTGTGTTCAAGAAAAGAGTCAGTGTGTGTGAGATTAGATCCGAACATTAACCAAT